GAGACCTCCGTGCCCGGGGACAGACGGGAAGGTTGGGAATTCTAACAGTGCGTCCTATGCACAAACCGAAGAACCTTGATCTATTTATAAATTTTTATGTTCTCGTTGGAGGGATGAAGATACAAGCGTCAATAGAAGCTTCTAACTCTTAGCGCCAAAGGTCAATTTCAAGAATGAAGAACCATCATATTCACTTCTCTTTTTGTTCTAAATAAAAAAGGAGGATTATTTTTAGTTTGGGATTACCGGTTATTTTGTTGTTCATGGTTATTTGGTTGAAAGTTGAATTTTTTGCTGGGGACAGCCAGCCCCCTTTCCCGCCAATGGTTGGAGTAGGTGTCAGTGGTCCCTGGCCCCTTCCTATTTCATTGTTTCAAATGCCTGACACGGGCCGGGGCCCGGGCCCAATAGCCTAATCCTCCCCCTTGGGGCGCCGGCCCACCGGGTCCTAGTCCCGGTCGGGGCCCCGGATTCTGTCCCGGTTGCCCCTTTTCCAGGCCAGCTCTCTGCTGTGGCCAGGGAGTGCAGTGGAGGATGGCCCAGGTGCTTGGGCCCTGCACCCCATGGGAGACCAGGAAAAGCACCTGGCTCCTGGCTCCTGCCATGGGATCAGCGCGGTGCACTGGCTGCAGCGCGCCGGCCGCGGCGGCCATTGGAGGGTGAACCAACGGCAAAGGAAGACCTTTCTCTCTGTCTCTCTCTCTCACTCATCCGCCGGTGAGATATAGCTGTAATAAATATAGCTAATGGGAAACATGGAATGAAAACATCACACATATTTTCCATGAACTTTTTGAAGACTTCTTGTATGCTCGTACAAGTATATTCCTGTCGCAAAGAAAAAACAGGTGATCAGAGGCACTCAGCTTGAAAACCTGTCAAAGAAAAGAGAAAGTTCTACCTTGATGCTTTCTGTTGAGGTCAAAAATCTATTCTCTGAAAGTATAGGTTCCTAAAAGTATCCCAGAATGGTCTTTACACACTTTATCCTTTTACACCCTCACCCCCTCCAGTTTTAGCCTTGCATCTTTAAATGTATAGGGATAAATGGAAAGGCATGAATTGAAGTTCAGAACACAAAGCAACCATGTCGAGTCCCATGGGGGATTATATAGTGAGAGACAGGAATCTGGTTTCTCCTTTCAAGGAGCGGGCAGTCTAACCAGGCAGGTAAGATGTGAACATATCACAGTGTCAAAGACAGCAGGACAAAGGTAAAGGCCAAAGGAACTTTGGCGTTAAGTGCTGTGGGAGTTGAAGAGGAGAAGAGGTTACTGAGTGATGAGTGGCTGATGAAAGCATCATGTCCTGGGAGGATGGCAGGAGCCTTGCAACTGGGAATGGATTTATTTATTTATTTGCATACTTAATTTTTAGAGGATCAAAGTTAGAGTTTATTCCAAAAATCAAAGTGTGAGTGTGTAAGCCTGGAACTGTGTTTATTGGCTGCATCACAAGCTTCTGTTTGTTGCAGATTTATACTTTTCTCACAGGGCTGGTAAATGCATTGAGTCATTAAAAAGCACACATGTATGTTGTGGTTATCAGTCACATTAAAAACCAAAGAAGGCTATCTGGTAATAGTTACAGACTTGGTCATTAAGGAGGTATACTACATTCCTAGTCTCCCCTGTTATTTATATGCATGGAGAGGCAAGCAATGGGGTTCTCAGTCATTCAGACAATGAGGGAGGTGCTTAATCATTTTTCCTATAATGGCCCTGCACTTATTCACTTCTAGAGGTACAGCAAGTGTTTCCTGGGTCACAGTACAAGTTTGTGAAAAGTCAGGCTGAATCTGTGGAGAGGACGGCAGGGTGTCTTCACTGTCTGAGTAGTGCCCTGGTTGACTTGGCCCTCATAGTCACTTTTCCATTCTGAAGGCCTCAATATTTTTTGTTTTATTTTTGATAAGCATATTCTAATTACCTTCACCACCATCCACCATCACTGTTCTCACTACTGGGAGTGGATTTAGAATGTTGGGGAAAGAACAATGGCATGGAGAGAGGAGCTCTCAGGTGTGTTTAGTGGACAGGAAGTGACTTGACCTGGTAGTAGCAACCTGCTTGTGTTAGAGAATAATCAGAGCCAAATTATGGTATCAGGTTAGTTTTGTAGGACCTTGACCATCAAGTTGAGGGTGGGAAATCCAAGCCATAACCTCTGAAAAGGCTACACCCAGCTTCCTGCTCCTTCTGCCCTATTTCCTATGAGTCTTCTGTTCTTCCCTCTGATTTTCCTGACAATGAAAAATACTGTTATTTTATTATTACATTAAAATATAAAATGTATTTAACTACCATCTAACCTTGGATTTGTTTATTGTGCTTATTATTGATCTGGAGCTGCAATAAGGGCAGCTCAGAAGCTGTGATGGGAAGGAGGCCTGGCTTTCTGAGACAGTCCTGTTTTTTGTTTGTTTTGTGACCCCTTTAAGTATGTTTTATTCATCATGTTACCAAAAACTTGATCCCTGTCCCAAGTGCCAGATCAAAACAACAAGGATAATGTTTGAGGGTAAAGGAAAGAGAGATTTTGACCTGTCAACAGATGATGGGGCAGCAACTTCCAAATCTCAAGAACTGCTTCCCTGCTGAATGAGGAAGTTTTGGGTTTTTTAAGGGGGCTACAAGGAAGAAAGAATCAGGAATAAGAGGAAAAAAAAGACAGGGACAGCTGCATGTTGGCCTCCAGCCAGATGATAAGGGACTGGTTAGTCATAGTAGGTATCTGGTCTGATTACACATTCATCTCATGTCTAAGTTCCTGATTTGTGAGAAATTCTGTATTCTCCAGGGAATGTCTATGATGGCCACATGGGCTTCAGTGCCTGGGGGCTACATGTAGGTGGTACTTTCTGCCCCAGACCTGTAATTCCCATTAAAAAAAAAAAAACTCCAAGCAACACTGATCACCAAAGTGTCATCTGTGGAGAAGCAAATGACCTCATGACCTTTCTTTAGGGCCAGCTGTACCACGCCAACAATTCAGTGAGTTAAGCTAGGGGACTGGTATCTAGTGTGTTCATTCAAG